TTGGGTTTCCTACATTTCCAAGTTTTATATAGCGCTTCTGAAGGCAATAGAATTTGAGAGTGGGAGGAACCCAGACGGGATGTTAAAACAGTGACTTAGACACTACTGTCTTTTACAAAAAGATTGTTTCTTCTTCTTGTTTGTTTTGATTGTTTGGAATTTTATTAAAGCACCCCTCCTGTTTCTTTTTTCTTTATTTTACTTTTTGTTTCCTGTCATGGTTCCCATATACTAACACCCATCTCCAGGCTGCTTGCTACAATAAGTATTAACTCTGCTACACAGCTATTGTACTTGTGGCTTCCAGCTCAAATGTATTTGTCAACCTGTCATAATTATTATGAATTCCAGGGCTGGCATTGAAATAGATTCTTTACCCTTTATATGAAAGAGTATATCGAAACAAAAAAATGAACCTACAGGAACATTGTTAATTATTGTGTGCAATGTGTCCCAAAGGGAGACAGATTCCTTGACTCTGTCCCAAAGGGAGACAGATTCCTTGACTCCTTGAAAAGCTAATCTTCTAAGGAGGGTTCCTAAAAAGACTACTGACAAATAGCTTTGTTCATCTCCCTCTCTTCTAAGGTAACCCACGTCCATCAGAGAGGAGTGCTTGTGTTTTGATAGCTGAAGTTGCTGCACCTATCTCACCATCTCTCTGTTGATGTAAATGCCTCTCTGGTGTGGCAATTTTACCCAGAATTTAACGCAGCTTACCTCCATGCCTGATGGGCCCAGAGCTGACGTGCTAGGGAGCTAAGGCATATGTTGAAAATAACTCACTTTGAATGCCTGTGTGTGACCACAGTTCTGCGTTTTAGACAGCACATTATTTTGCTGCTATATAAATAGACTTCGGCAAATTTAATAAACATTGCATTTTGTTCTTTGCCTCTGTAAAGTGTCTGTGTGTGGTAGGGGACATCCCATACATGCCCACATCCACAGAGGCTTCATTCATGGTCCCTTTTGCCACATAGACCTTTACTCATGTTTTTTATTTATTTTATGAGCTCCTTTAATAGTGACAGCAGCTATTTTGCTCCTCTTTTTCTGGGTGCCTGGAAACCCCAGGAAGTGTAGAGTTGAGCTGAGCTGCAACTGAAGTGAGAAGGAGCTTTAGGAGACCAGCTTGGATAGTTACAGAAACCAAGGTGGGATAAGAAAGGGTAAGAAAGAAGTATCAAAAGAGTTGCAGACCTGTGCACTGTGCGTGAGGGGAAATAGATTTGGTTGCGCTGTTAAACCTTCCATACAAGGGAGGTTTCTGTAAAAATAATGTCTTCTGGCAGTGTTGTGGCTCAGTACCTAGCACTGAAATGCAGAGAGTTGTAGGCCCAAGAAAGAGGGTCACTGTGAGTTCTCTCCTGTCCTCTTCTGCTTTGACAACAGGACAGTCAGCAGCCCCCGTACCAGCATGATATCTTCTAAGCTGCAAAAGGAGCCTATAAAAAATTCAACCAGCACAGGAATCTCCAGGCTTTTTGAGTTCTCAGGCTAGATTTTCCCATTTCCATGTGCTGTTATAGGGAGCAGACAGGGGCATCCCAACAGCGTGATGTCACACAACGACTTTGTCTGTCACAGAGCAATTGGCTGTGAAATGTCCTCATGTGAGGGCCAGAGCCTCCTACACCCAAAGAAAACGTGAGCACTGGGGAGTGAGACAACCACAAAGAACTGGCTGT